ATGTGACCATTATTACCATTCCAACTATTCTATATCATGTTACCATATGAAATTGTGACCATGTGAATTCCTCACCCTGCGATCATTATTACTAATCCCACTATTATGAATCATGTGACCGTGTGACCATGTTAGTATGGTACCATGTGATCATGTCAACATGGTACCATGTGACCATGTGAACATAGTACCATATGACCATGTGAACATAGTACCAAGTGACCATGTTAATATAGTACCATGTGACCACGTTAATATAGTACCATGTGACCATATAAACATAGTACCATGTGACCGTGTGAAGATAGTACCATGTCATCCCTTGAATCCTATCGGATTGTTATTCTAATCACACGGGACTAATGTAACCATGTCACCATGTGACCGTGTGGCCATGTCACAAACTCCTCTCTAATGTGACCCGACTTTTGTGTATAGTGATATTCTAAAAACAACATCTCAAGCTCAGATCTGACCCGGATCTATGACTATACTATAGTCCAAAGGATAAAAAATGCACAAACATCAGCCATTACAAGAAAAAAAGGTGGAAGAAGCATCACTGTTCAGCCGAAAAATAACAACAAACATTAATGTGTATGAAAAACAATAAGGTTTTCGCAATTGCTTACCTATCTTCAACCTCTTGGCTAATTTCACACTGATTTTGCTGGAATTTTTAACGATTTTGGATTAAAAATTGCAACATTCAGAGGAGAGAGAGAGCTCATCGATGAAGGAGAGAGAAGCAGGAGAGAGAAAGCGGAATGAGAGAGGAGAGAGACAACTAAACCCTATTTTTTGGGGAAATTTTTTTATTCAAAAATTAAAAACAAAAGGGCATTTTGGTCATCACATATTATAAAGGGTATATTAGAAGTTGTAATTTTTTTTTTTTAAAGAGAGGGTATGAGAAGATGTTATGTAGCAGATTGAGGGTATAACGGAAGTTGGCCCTCGTGAAAAGGATCCAAGAATATCTCGATAAATTAATAAAATAAAATCCTAACTAAAGCGGATCGAGCTTTAATTCTGAGTTTGGTACTGCCATTACTATGATAGAGAACTTATTGAAAGCCCCTTACCCTAAGATTAGACTCGGAGACATTTATATATAGACGTCCGTCTCTAAAAGATCAATTTGATATGATTTGTTAAAAAGATGTGAAGATTTTAAATTATAATAGAGTTTTACATATTATTCTAATTTTTTTATATGATTTAGATTTATTTATGATGGATCTTCAGCAAATCCTCTACCAGAGATGGAAGGTTCAAAAGATTCTACTTGTGAAGGAGGCTTTGAAGAGGACGGAGGGGCAAAGTTATCATTTTATAGCGTCATTAATCTGACCTAGGGTTTCGTCTTGTTCAGAGGTGTGCAGAGTCTGTATTGTTTTTTTTTTGTTCCCTCCATTGGCAGGGACTCTCTTTTTTCGTGCAACGGACATGACTCCGGTCAGTTTCCCGATGGTTTCTCAGTCTGTGGCCTTAGATCGAACACTTCCTCTTCCCAAGACGTATGTAAAGAGGTTCCTCTCGGTACTGAACTCGTATATCACTGTGTCGTCTCCTCTTTCGATTCCTGTTCTTGCTCAAATGAGTGTCAGAGTGAAATCGGTGAGGGATTCAAAGGTCGGAAACCACTACAATTTATTTATTTATATTATGCAACTACAAGTTTTTACAATTATACTTTGCATCTAGATGTTGTGATTCTAACCATAAACTTTGAATAATAACAGGTTTCTAATAATATTTTATTCAAATGTTTATTAATAGTAAATTATCTATCAAGATTGGGAGACTCAACCGTTAAGAAAATGAGCAAAATTCATTTTCAATCTTGTTTTGAGTTCTCATTTGGAGAGTGGTATTCATATAGATTTTTTCAATCTTCTACAATATGTAATTGGGTCAAAAGTCGGTAAACTTCTGGATTATAAAACAAATAGTAATTAAATTATCTATATTTAGCCGATGATAGTGCGCTAATTGTTGTCGTAGTTTATTGTACAATTGTGGAAAATAACTAGTACAATATAAATGTATTTTTATATTTTGTTTCAATGAAATGATATCATAATTATTGAAATAGTAGACAACAAATACATATTGATATATATATATATATATATATATAAAGTTATGAAACTGTTGTATATACTGTGGACGGTTGCCGGTTGGTGTACATGGGTGGATGTGTATATATAGACACACACTATACCGTCTGTATATATGCGTGACGTGATAATGATTTATATTATATGCATGATGACATGTACGTATGTATAGACATACATGATGTTTGCCGACTTTTAATTGCACATAACGAAAATATCTAGCATATGATTGTGATATAGCATATGATTTTTATTTATTTACCCCTTGTTTTCATGTGACTGCATGCATCTATCCCTACGGGGGACGAATGGAAGTTGAAACATATCTTTGAAAAATGTACGCAATTTTATTTACATAAATCTAATTTCATCGGCAATTTAGGTTTTCTCATCAAATAGTTTTATTATACAGTTTTTCTTTTGGCATACATATTATATATCTCCTTATATATATATATATTATGCAAATATACAAGCAAATGCTACGGAATAAAAACATCATAATTCGAACACACGAGAGATTCCGGGAGAAATGTGTGTGCTGACGTGGCAAGATCTAATGGAACCATCGGGAAGAGAAGGCCCACCACCACCGTTGGATTAAATGACGGTGGGTCAAGTCAAACTGCTTGACCTTCAGACCGGATCGGACCCGACTTCTGATGGTCCGTTGACTCTCTGACTTTTCATTTAATTGGAGATATCTACTGAATATGCTTTTTTTTTTTTCGATTTTTATGACATCGAACCAACTCTTTGTTGTTGGTCCTCCACCATTTTCGTTCTTTTCAAATTTAATTGTTTCTTTTAATTTCTTTGTCTGCAGATTTTGCCCCCAATAATCACGCATTACGTCACGCTATTATATTAGTAATGATTACAAGATTTCGAAATAATTAAATCTTTTCACTTGCATCTCTATAATATTATTTTGGTGTCCATTCCCTAAAATATCACAGGAATCCCATCTCAATGGATGATTATTCTTATTCAAATAACTTGGTATATATCAATCTTATGTTTTTTTTGTTATTATGGATACAAGTTTTTCAAGATTAAAACATACATGGGCATGAATAATGCATTCATAACTACTTGATGGGTTCGATAGTGCATACATACATATATATATATATATATATATATCGAAATCAGTTTTAAAGTTGATTAAATATACGTGTTTGAACGGAATATTAATAGTTTTTAATAATTTTTTAAATCAGTCATTTATTGTTTCGTACGATGATCTATGGACAAACGAAAATTAGTTTGAATATATAAGATTTATAAATTTATAAATATCAAGTTATAATTTAACTTTCATTATTGCACATGGTATCAGAACAGTGATCTGAGTGACCATCTTTATCACCTTTTTTTTTTCCTGTCTTTCGACCACTTTTTCGTCAACCACTATGGATTTCTCTGTGCTCCGAATCATCCCGGTTATCCTCGATGGCGACAACTACCTGAGTTGGTCCCGATCGACGAAGATGTTCTTGAAGAGCAAAGGTTGGTGGACTCATGTCACCACCGAACGTCAGATCGACGAATCTGGCGATGAACCCCAAGAGTGCCGATTAATTAAGTTTTGTCTCTTTGGTGGACAAAAAGAAAAGATTAAATGAGAAGGCGGAAATCTCGTGAATCGTCTCCGGCGTTGACTTGTTATTTTGCCAAAGAAAAAAAAATCATTTCCACATTTATGTAAAATATATTTGTTTGTTTATATGAAGTCTTTCCACGTCCTTGTGTTGTGTGTGTGTGTATATATAACATATTATATGCAAATTATTATTCGCTCTGTGGTCTTTTCCTTCTATGATCTATCCATATTCTCTGTGGTGGAATGGCAGTGCCAGTACTTGTATAGTATAAACATATAACTATATCTGTGTGTGTCGGGAAATCCCCAACTCTGCTGGTTTGAGAGCCTCTTCCTTTAAACGAGGTCGTGTGTTCAACACCCAGAGTATGAAAATTCCCCTCCTGCCACCTTCGGGTGTTTCACATCCCACGTATGTGTTGCAGGGTCGTGCGCGTGGGTCGGGATTAGTCTGGGCCTTTGGTCTTGGGATCACCCGATTATAAAAAAAAAAAAAAAACTGTATCTGTGTCTCTCTCTGTCTATACAAGGGTATTTACGGAATTTACTGTCGTAAGTCAACGAGTATACATCCAAAAAAACAAAGTGGGTACGTGTGCGGTTCATATATTGTATGTCCACATGTGAATTATTAATTTAATCATTATTATAAATGTGCATTTGTTTGTGTATAGCGAGAAAGGTGTACATGTTTGTTTGTTTATGAGAATATTTGGACAGATTACATAACACTTCTGGAAGTCAAACGAGTTTGTCATGCATTTTTCGAATATACTTTCATGCACATATATTCATACATTATTTACATTTTTTAATATTTATATACGTGCAGTTATTAATTAGTGGAGCTATGTGTGTTGTGAACATAAGTAGATTGTCCCTAATTTGGGTTTAAATTGGGAGAACAAAGACAGACAAAACACCCCTCCCCAGTTGAGATATCTCCTATCTAATAATGGTTGCGTGTATTATATATATATATATATATATATATATGATATTATATCAAAAATACCCTTATTTTACTATTTTTACTTTAACACACCATATTCTGATCATGTCACCTATGTGACCCAAAATATAATGTGATCACATGTTGATCTCATTGTTCATAACGTTAAATTTATGATGTTTTAATCAAATAATTAGTAAGATATACAATATATAAACATAATGAATTAGTGAGATCAACATAAATTAAACGTCATAATCAATAAAATCAAAATATGATCACACTATATTTTGAGTCACATGGATCACATGGTCACAACTAGAGAAAGACATGCATTGAAATAGAAATAACAAAGTAAGAATATTTTTGATAATGCTACAAGCACGCATCTGTGTTCATAGCGATTTTAATGGTCTTGTGAGATGGATTTCCACAGGCCCAATCGTGGAAACTAAATATTTTCAGAGAAAAATAACCAGAAATTACGAAATTAACCTTTAAACATTGGAGATTAGGAAGCCATTTGTTGAATAGTATTGTTCATTATGGAAGCAAAACCCTGGTTTAGGGAAGAGAAGGAGCATCTGGTTGCTTCTCGGGAACTGCGTCTTGGAATTCGGACAGTCCCTTGTACGCCTCGTAACACTTCTCCAGTGTCGGGTATGGTCCCTGCCCACACACACCCCGCTTCTTTATACCATCCAACGTTATAATATAAAACAGAGCTTCTCCTATGTTTTAAGAGCATTTGTCGGTCCATGGGAGATTGAAATTACCATATATATATATATATTCAACGATGGATTAGGGGAAAAGGGTTGTAAAGGGGATGGGCATAAAATACCATATCAATCTGGAACCTTGTGATGGCTCCATGGATCTGCGGTGCTAGAAACAAGTCAGCCTGCAGGGAAAAAAAAGATAATATATATATTGATGGGTTAACAAATTCTTATTCATAATGTACAATACTACAACATCATTCATGTACACAAAAGAGTATAGAGAGTAATGACGGGATATATTACCAAGAAAACTTCATCACCAGTTGCGTACTTCCCAGAGCAACCCACCAACAGCTTCTCCAGAGCTACACAGAGAGAGAGAGAGAGAGAGAGAGAGAGAGGAATTAGAATTAGGACAGTCCAAATTAAAAAAAAAAATAATGATAATGAATAGGAAAGAGACCTTGAAATCCTTTGCCGATGACATTATTAAGCCACGCACTTTTCTCCTCTGGGTTTATCTTTTCCTCAATCAACTTCTGAGGAAACGAAGAAAGCAACTAAACAATGTTAGTTTCCATGTAACTAAGAGACCACAGCAGGAAAACGTTCACATCTCAACTCCTCACCAGGACAGTTAGGTTTTGGAGAGGCTGAATGCTCGACGAAACAATACTCACTGCCTGCGAATTCGTGAGAGAAAAAAAAACGACAACTATACTCTCAACCTGCAGAAATTCTACGCAAAGTCTTTAGTCACCAACGAAGCCGAAAACGGGTGCGATATTTTAAGCTATTTACAATAATATAATAAAAGTATATTTTCATATAAAGTTACCAAAATACACTTTAGGTCAACACAAGTCAACAATTTTTTCAAGATTTTGACGGGGTTTAGGTACCCGGATACTCGAGTTCAGCGACGGGTACTCTGATCGCGGGTACCCAGATTTCACGAAAACGAGATAGTACTTTTCCAAAACCCGTTAAGACAAGACCAAGGTCGGTTACCACCAAAAACGAGATATCCGAACCATCCCCACCCCTACTTGGGAGTATGCGAGATGTCCGAAATTTTGTTGGCTTTGTGTAGACATTAAGGGTAAGAATTTTACACAAAATAGGGGTAAGAATTTGTAAATAAATTAAAATATTAAGTGTATAAACGTAATTTTACTCCTACCCATTACCCACGACATAGTCCTCCATGTTTCAGAAAAATTCAAACCCAAACCCTGAACCCACGGTCCGAGTTTCTGCTCTTGTTTGCACCCATTATCTGTGTCATTCGTGGCGAGTACCCATGAGATCGGGTACCAAAAAACCCGTGGGTCTCGGGTAAAAAAGCCCACCTCTACCGTAAAGAAAACATGTAAACAGGTAGACAAGGACCAGGAATCAATCCCCCAAGCCGGTATTTGCTGCTGTTTTTAAACTTAATAACATCCATTTCGACAAACTGCTTTATAAACCAACTTAGAACAGAAAAACAAAGGCTTGATACAAGCTTGTCCGATTCTGGCTTCCAACTCACGTAACACACGAAAGGATAAGAACGACTGAGAAGAAAGGCAGCAGCATCACAGAGAGAGAGAGAGGGGTACTTGATAGTTTATTGCTCGTTTGTGGAGGTCAGGAGGCAAGAGAGGACGTTGGGGATACTTCTCTTCCAGGTACTGTAGATTGAAGGAAAAACAAGTTAAAAAAAAGGCCATGTAAACCTATTGATTCTGTATGGACATAAAAAAGGAGAGAGGGAAAATGGTGGGTGACTGACCATAACAATGGCAAGAGAGTCAGAAACCACGACATCTCCATCGACCAGTGCTGGCACGAAGCCCATCGGATTGATCTTCCTGAACTCTTCAAGAATCAAGAACAAAAGATTCAACTTAACCAATGCTGAGATTCCACTGAAATACATATATGATGGTCAAATCCCGTATGCACTCTCATATATATATATACACCCCATTCATTAACTCACATGAAAATCAAGTCAATCGAGTATGAAACGAACAGCGAATCTACGAACCTGGGCTGTGCTGGTCACCTCTGAGCAAATTCACAGGAACATACTCGTAATCAAGCCCTGAAGTCACCAATCGAGATCAAAATGGACCGAAAAAATTATGGGAAATTTTGGGGTTTTGTACGCAACAGAAGCCGGAATTTAAGAGGAAAACCTTTCAAATTGAGAGCGATTCGAACGCGATGGGCGCACGAGCTTCTCCAGTAAGAGTACAGCTTCATCTTCTCCTTCTTCTCTTCGCCGGAATTCGCCTGATGAGATCGGAATTTAGAATATTACCGGTGATCGAACGAAACAGGCAAAGAAATCGTAAGAAATTTCGGACCGATGCGACGATCAGGAGATGAGATTTGAGAATGAAGATAACGAAACTAGGAACTTACCATGAGGGAGAAACTGTTTCTTGCAAAACTCGTTTTTGTCTTTCAGTTTAAAACGCCAGAGAAGCAGACTTGGTTTTGGCTTTGGACTGGACGGTGGAAGTAACCGTGGTTGAGATGTGTACATGTAACTCATCCGCTAAGCTAACCACTCTGGTTAAAGAACAAACCAAATTTTCGCATGATTAACACTTGACAATATACATGTATACGTGATTAAAACATGATATATATATATATATATATTATACCTTTTTCATCATCAGTGTAAGGAAATCCAAACACCACATCTTTTCAACACTTGACTGTATATATATATATATATATATATGTATAAATTACACCTTTTTCATGATCAGTGCAACGAAATCCAAACACAACACATCTTTTCAAACCAAACTCAGTACTCAATTTCAGAAACTTTATGATTCATAATGATTTTTTCTAAATGTTTTCTTAAGGATCAATCATTAAGAAAACATTAATTTGGGTTTGTCCCCAAAGGGCTTTGCTTCCCTTCTATGTGCCTTCACCATTTCCCCATTCTTCCAAAAAATACAAAGCCCTCCTTCCCTCCCTCTTGACTCTTTCCTACATCAGATTTCTTACCTCCCCCGCCCCCTTTTTTGTGTGTGTTTTGTTATCTAAACCGAACTAAAAACGAATCAAAATCAAGCTTTGTACATATGGGTGGAGTGCTCGTCGGAATCTAGGGTTAGGGCAATGCAGGCGATGGACCGAGATTATGATTCCCGATGTATCGGACGGTCTTCATCTCGACTCTAGATTGTTTGGAGACCGATCCTTCTTCCTCGTTCGAGTCTGCGTTTTCGAGCTCTCTCAGAGCCCTTCTGGCGTATATTGTGAAAGCTACTGTGGTTACAACCGCAATGATCAAAGAGATTATGTTGTAAACAATCTCCACTGTTGTCAAATGATGGTTCCCGTACTGCACATCCGCAAATGTTCTGATCAACCGTCCACTGCATATTAATTCAATTCCTCCGGTTTAGATTTATCATATCTGATGTTAAATTTCCCCCCAGGGTGATATGCTAAGACTGACCTGTAGATATAGATGAAAGCTTCTGGTATCATCCCTGCTATGGATCCGAACAAGTAGGGGCAGAATCTCATGCTTGTTACAACCACCGCGTAGTTGAAAATCGTGTAAGGGAAGGGCGAAACCCGAAAGATAGCTACCACTCGGAATTGATGGAACCAGCTGCCTTCCCCAGCTAGTCTCAGGACTGCTGCTTTTTGAGGCCACCTCTTTAACCATTGCTGCAATCATAAAAGAGGAAACTTGAGTTGAACAGCCGAGAATGGGATAGTGAAGAATGAGTGATGGAATCTTACGTGGATGCGTTCCCGGAAAAGTAGCCCGATAAGGTAGGGGAGGACCATACCAATGGTGGTTCCGACCATGATTATGACAAAACCAAGACCATAACCAAAAATCATGCCAGCCAACCACATCGAAGGTCCAGAAGGTATCAAGAACACAGGGAACAATGCAAGGGAAGTAACAAGAACAACTGCAAGCATAGGACGACCAAATGCTGTCGCTTCCCATTGCAAGATTGGAATAAGAACCTGCATTTGAAACACAAACAGGGATGTTAAAAGATTAAAATGCAAGAGATAGCAAGTAAGAAAAGGCAACATGCGCCATTTATATGGAAATAACATGAAAAGGGATGCAATAGGATGTGACTCGTAGGTGAGAAAACATTATATAAGATTACCTTCTCGAAAAGAAATGGAACTCCCCATTTTACGAAAACGAGACTAAGGATGAGAATAGAAGCGCAAATTCCCACTGTTTTGATCCACCATATTAATTTTTTACTCCGAACCTCTACTTGAGTTTCTTCTGATAAGCCAGTTTCAGCTGCAGCAGGTTCATGGGACATAACCAGACGAACATATTCATTATCTTCCCTTAAACGGATTACAGATCTCACAGTGTCATCTCTCGACTCCTTCTTTGATGTGTTCGTCATCTGCGCGTTCTCAGCACCTAATGAGACAAAAATTGAACAAGAACTCGGAAGATCAGAGGAACAGAATAAACATCCGCAAGCCATCAAAACAGAACAAATTCATCCCAGTTTCATGTGCTTCGTCCTCTAACTATACAACAATCTAGGCTTACTGTGACATATCACTGTCTGAAGAACAAGACAGATAAAACGCCGGAAGTAACAAGCCTTAGAAAACATCCAAACGTATAGAAATCTGCAATTCGCAAAAGGAGAAAAACAATTTCGTCCAGAAACGGCATCGATGCTTAACGGTAGCTTCACAACTTCGAAGGAAGACAAAAGAAATTACTGGAGATTAACAACAAAAAGAAGTAACGAAAACTTAAAACCACTCCGTGGAGAAATCCGACGAAGAACCCTCCGGCATCAGACTTCCGGTTACACAACACTAACGGACAAATCAATCCATAAAATCGAGCGATCGCTATAGACCTAGAGCGACCGAATCACTGAGACCTTCCAATATCGCCCGAAATCAACACAGAAAACATATGGAAAACAGAGCTAGGGCAACCAATTCCTCCGAACGAGAGCGACAAGCTCAGCAATAGTAAAGTTAGAGAGAGAGAGAGAGAGAGAGAGAGAGAGAGAGAAGCACACAATCACCAGGGGAATATAGCCGGAGGAACTATGCTTGGAGGCGGAGAAAACGCCGGAGGAGAGGGAGGTGCGGCGGAGGAACCTGGAGAAGCGGTGGTGGTTGTGGAAAAAAAAAGGTTCCGTCAGGTTCCTCAGTGTGGCTTTTTTTGTTTTGTTTGCTTGAGGAGATCGTATTTGATTTTTGAGGAAATTCAAAATCAAAAGGGTGTTTGTTTACTTTTCCTTTTAAAAAAAATCGATGGCGTATGAATAATAATATGAATGGGGGGATGAGTCAGAGTCAGAATCCAAGCTTCTAGTTAATTTTAGTTTTAATGAAAGGGCTGACAAATCAGCCGCGGTTGATCCATCCATCCATCCGCCTACCCAACTTGACTTTCCCTAAACTACCCTTGTATCCATTCTTTTCTCGTGTAGTTTCTTAAATAAAAAATATACTATATATTATATTTTTTCAAAATATATAATCTGAAATATATGAAAAGGTTCCGTTCGAACAATAGAAACATTTATTTACCCTTTTTCTCCTCATATGTTGTAATTAAAAAAAAAAAAAGAATATGGTCGCATGATGTTTCAATTAAAAAGTAAGTAAATCACGTGCGTGATGCATTATATTTTAATAAGGCATCTATTGCATACAGACAATGCATAGGAAGAGCAGTATAAGAACTAACAACTTATTATTATCTCTCTAATCAAACACTTCTCAATGATTGTTTCTTAAGAAGGGAAAATCGTTTGTTACGGAATGATTATTCATCCAATGTAAAATCTCATTGTTATTATTATTATGGCGTTGGGCTGACGAGGTTGGAATGACGAAAACCTTACAATCTGTCCCGTGCGCGTGGACTTTCTCTCTCGCTCGATCTAGGTATGGGATATAAACTAGTGCAGGTCCTTTAAAGGGTAAAAACCCTATTGGGCCAAAACTAATGTCCAGCGGTCGACATTTTTATTCATAGTTTCCAAAAAGGGAGATTCCATCCATGGACGTCCCGATTACGCCGTCGAATTCTCTTTCAAATCTTACATAATTCGATAGTTTTGGTTGGGGTACGAATGAATGCTCCCAACCAACTTCTGGAAGAAAGAACCTAACTTTCAAACGAAAAAAAAGGACGAAGTGCAAAGGCTGGCACGAGGACAAAATGACCAGACGACCGATTTAATTGGTATTATATAAAAAATACCCTTACTTTTCTATTTATAATTCAACACGTACATTTCTCCAACTGTGACCATATAATCTATGTGATCCACATTATATTTCGAATCACATTATCACAGTTTGAGAAAGATATATGTTAAAATATAAATAGCAAAGTAAAGATATTTTTTTTATAATGCCCCGATTTAATTTGATTGCACCATCAAGCAAACACCCACCCTATATACGGCTTCCGAATTTCGGAGGGTGGGGAAAAAAATTTAAAGGAAACACTAACAACATGTAACAAGGCTTTGTTCAGAAGGATGGAAGAATCAAGAATCTCAAGGAAAAGATCAAAGGTATGCTCACTCTTCCACGAGAATCTTCATCTGTTCCCGCAATGTGATAATTAACTATTTCACCTATCTATCCAAACATCACGAGAATGGTTAGCTGATGTGACAATACATAACCAAAAGACACTAACCACGATAATTTAATAAAAGAAGAAGAAGTCACAACCTGCTTCAGTTTTTTTTTTTTTTGGGGTTCTTTTCAACACTACCTATGAAGGGAACAGCACCACCACCATTTTGGTTTGTAGAATCTTATCCGGATTGGTTCCCGGCATCATCCGAAAAGCAGACCCGAGTCTTGTCTTGATCCTCTTTCAATTGTTGTTCCTTAATGTTTTCTCCTTGTCGTTCAAAAGAACCGCCTTTTTACCTCCGTTTTCAATTATGGTTTTTTCCCTCTCTTTCTTTCCTTCTGCAGTTTTAAGCTCAGCGGATCTGATGGTACTGTGTGATTCCTCGTTTTGGTGGTATCTTTCTCAATATAAACAGGACCAGAGCGGATGGTAATATCTCAACCAACTGTAAGTGCCAATATTGGCAGTTGGGTTTTAGGGGGAAAAAAAAGTCATTAGAAAAACGACATTATGAGCATGAAACGTGGAGAGAGAGGAGCTTACCAGGTAATATATGAAGTTCAAGATAGGGTGATCCAAGACATCAAGGTCCGCCTCACTGTCGAAAGCATCGAAGCACATCTAGACCACAAAAGATTATTTAAGCCTTTGGTTGATAGTTATTTCAAGGCCCATCTATTTGGGGAAGAGTTCAACGCACACAGTATGGATTGAAAATTTATCAACGCTGTGATGTTATGTGTTACCATGATGCATCTGACGAGGAAACACGTGAAACATATGGTTGTCACATAACCAACCTGTGACGAATGTACAGACAGAAAAGGGAATGAGACTCAGAGAGAAACGGAAACTTGATCAGCTAAAACTGGTTTACAATATAAGTTTCACCTCCTGCAATTTTTTGCGCCTCCCATTAGATTCTACAGGAAATCGTTGTAGCATTAGGAAAAGCCTGCGGAAAGAGAACCATTGAAGACATATATCAAGCATTTGCATGGCACAATCTCTTCATCATATTCATAACAATCATGATACACAGATTTAGTCTACTTGTGCATGAAGAACCTACTTTAGCAAGACACCAACGAAGGACAAGAATGCAGGCAGCCACAAGCAGGTTTACAATGTTCTATTAAGTATGGCAAGATTATACGTCTCAGCTCTATTTCCTAATAAACCATCATGCGGTAGAAGCCCCAGGAAATATAATGGAAAAGATGCTACACATCCAGCTATTTCAACCAAAAAGCAGCTGGGCAAGTGATTGGATGGCAATGATCAAAGAAGAACATATGTGCAAATGCCCATAATTATAAGTTAATAACCATCAGGTTTCAAGATGGTACGGAACTGACATCGTGATGAAATCAACAACATATTCATTGCAGTAGGAGGACATGTTCAGTGAATACCAAAAACAGAAACTATGCTACAATCAATATGTAGCATATATACAAGTAGCAAGTTAGTAGTTAGTACCTTCCGCCATATAGTAAAAATCCAAGAGCAGCAAACAACGAAACACCTGCATTTATATTCAGGACCAAGGCGGTGAGACATGTAGCTGAGCTATATCAATTTGTGCATGGGCGAAATATAAACAAAGCAACACCTGCAAAGAACATCTTGGACAGGACAACCATAGCATGAACAGGCTTCCACCACATTATCAACCAAAGAGCAATCTGGAATTAATACATCCATAAGAAGCATTTAAGGGAGTGGACAGCCCCTACAAACCAAACGTTATAAATGCAGAGGCAATCTATGAATAAGTTCAAGGCTTCCAGAAAGTGGGAGCCCAATTTCAAACTTCCTACATTTCTCAGAGATCATAGGGACAAAAGGAAAGCGTATTTCACCTGAACAACATATACAACTACATTAATTGCGAAGAACCTTGGCCTCAGTCCATCAGTGGATACAGCACGCGCCTGTTCCATCACAAAAGATTGAGTAAATACCAGTACAAATGAACACGAAACCAAAAATGAAAAAGATACACGATATCGGATGTGACCTGGTAGTAAATTTCTGCCCAGAAGAGGACCAGAAGTGCATAGGTAGAGAAGAAAGCAAGACTTGGAATATCAAGCAAAATATGTTGCAGAATCTACAAGATGACCAGAAAAACTTGCAAATTCAGAAGGCCACATACACCATCAATTAGCTTAATCGCGATGTTGATGAAATATCTCACACCTCTGGATGAAGATACTGTACACCCCGTCGGAAGACAAAAACCACAGCTCGAACTGAAAGATAGAAGATTCACAATCAGCACCGGAAGCACATAATCAAACTGAAAACTTGAAAACCAGTATTGAATTTACATTTTGCGGGACGAACCTCCGTTCACTAAGAAATTGAGGAAGTGGAAGATCTTCTGCGTCGTCCATCCGTATTCCGGTATTCTCAATTGTATTCTCGCCAGTTGAATCTACCGAAAACACAGAAAAATCACTCTAATCGATATCCTCCCCGAAATTACAAACAAATCTTCAATGTCTCTGTACTTACTGTCAGAAGCAATGAGACCAGCAAAGCATATATTCATCGATTCAATATCCTATAATCCCTAATCCCGACTGATTCTCAATTCACGGCACATCCATGTCCGAATTCGAATCTCCGAAAACGAAAACTTAAAAACCCGAACGTACCAGAGCAACGAAGGAGACGATTCCATAAAGCACAGCGAGGACATGGAAGATACGATCCTGCCACACCGGCGACTCGTTCACGTCCGACCACCAATTCGAAGCGTCCGTCAGATTAAGCGCCATAACCGCCGACGACGAAGATATCAGCCCCGACGGAGATGACGTCATCTCCATGCCGACGCTTCTCATATCGGAGAAAATATTCAGATTCCTTCAGGAGAGCTTCTGATCTTCCTTCTCTTGTAGAGATTCAAAAAGAGAATCTATCAATCCACGTCTCCTCTCTCCTTCCTTGTTCCCTTTTCTTCGATTCTCTCTCTCTCCCCCCCGTGATTTGTTTAGAAACGATCGCCGACCGGGAAGAGAGATGGTGACGTGGACATAACCCAAGAGCCGGTTTAGAGAAAACCGGCAGCAGCCGGTAATATTAGTAGTGTGACCGACACGCTGGCACGGGTGATAAAGAGCAATCCCGAGGCTGGCTCTGAGTAAATCTAAATATGTGCGTGGGAAGTAAATTAAGTTAGAGGGAATTAATTAAGTTTTGGGTAAGGCTTAATTGAATTAATTAAGTTAATCTGTTATTAATTAAAGTAAATTCATAGTCAGATTTATCTACATATTATGGTATAAACAATATAATATATATTATGGTATATATTCTTGTTTTCTTTGGTCGCGTTCGGCCCATATTATTTATAAATAAAAAAAGACAAGTGCGATCAGCTCATGGGCTACAAAATGGTGTGAACGTGCATTTTCATAAGCCCAGGCCCATAAAATCCTTACATAGGAATGAAATGTCATTGTTCGTGTAATAAAATGTTATTTTTTTTAAAATAATAATAATAATAATAAAATGTTATTGGGTTTCATTCATATATTATGTTAATGCAACGGTAAGAATCTCCCATTAATATTGAATCTGAGTTCAATCAACAAGTCTGTAAATATCACAATCAGTATAGACTAATCATTTGGAATGGTTTCCGAATCACGCGGTTAGATCTAGAGGGTCTCGAAGATATCTCCATTATAGGATGGTGCCACGTGTCTCACAGTAATGTACCAGTACGAACAAAAATACGTATAATTGTATAAATAGTATGTATGCATCCAAACACTAGGGCGGTATCATCATCATCATCATCATCATCATCATCATCATCATCATTTCACAGATTTGGAGCTCCCTCTGTGGTGGCTCCATCATCATCTTCTTATTCCACGAGGCTTGGATCGCGTTTTCCCCTTTAACCTGCAAGAAGGTGTTTATCTTGATCTATTCCTCGCAAATCTTTCCTGGTTTCTACTTTGATTACGTTTTACGATTTGAGATCTCAGTTTTCTTCCGGCCGGTTCGAGTTACTTTTTGTTACGCGTTTCGTTTGAATAGGCCTGTGCCCTATGAACCTAGGGTTTCTAATTTCTATCCAGTTTCGATTTCTGTCTGATATATGCTTGATGGGTCTGTTTGGTTAACGCAAACTTCAGACACGGTTCTGTTCCTCTCCGATTAGATCTGATGGATTCGTTTTATGTTCTTCCTAACTAGTTTGCTATATCAAGTGCCGATAGTTCTTCGATACTTCTAATTTCTATTACCTTATGAAACGTTCATTTACGTTTGTATTCGGTAAAGGAGACATTATGTTAAACCTCACAATGTGATATATTTTTGTTTTAATAGATTTGTGTTTCTTCATTTTTGTCTGATTTGGACAGGGAAGCGAGTGTGAGTATCGTCACAGTGAATATGCGCGCATCAATCCACGAGATTGCTACTACTGGTTGAATGGCAATTGTTTGAATCCCAAATGTGGCTTTCGGCATCCTGTGAGTTCACCCTCACTCCCTCAGATTAAGTTTGATAAGTGTTCTTGTCTATTCTGATTTTTATCTTTGTTTTGTGATGGGGGACACTCTACTCAATTGCTTCAGATCCATGGGTCTGATGATAGTAACAGTTTTCGTAATGGTAAGGGCCCAGATGGCATTTTAAGAGAGTCTTCTCCTGGGCTTGATGTTGGAGAAGACTTTGATGTTCTTGTGGATAGCGAGCTTAGAGACTCCGAGTATTATCATGGGGAAGATCAATATGGAAGAAGAGGTGAGGATGGTAGGAACACTGTGAATGAACACGATCCTGATTTCAGTGCTACAGATGACGATGATGCAGAAGCGTTCCGTGATCATCGCGGCTTTGACCCTTGTGATCCCATGCAAGATAGGCAGTATGGTTGGGGTCACCCCTGGACTTCTTCTGAAAGAGGAGATCATTTCAAAAAAAGGGCTTATTTAACAGAGGAGAGGTCAGACCACATCCTAGAGTCTGATTTAAGAAACCGATTGTCGAAACATAGGAGAGTTAATCAACTGAGATCAATTGTAAGCCGTGACTATGCCCCTGACTACTCAGAACGAGGTTATGTGGATTCTCGTAAAGAATCACTTCAAGAAAGCTCTATTAGCATCCGTCTTCAAGGTAGAATTAAACATTCTGGGAGAGCCAATGACGGTGATGCTCATTTTGAGAGGGGACAGTGGGGAAGGAACAGAAGTCAGTTGTCACAGGGAAGGCAATGTAGGGCTAGAGGAGAACCATTCCATTGACCAAGAAAGAGGTACACGTCATCCATGGACAAGAAGGAGAGAAACGGAAGATGATACGATAAACTCGGAGTTCCCAGCTCCAAAAAGGCTTGCAGACTGAAAAGCAGCAAGGACGAACCATCCTTTAGGAAAAGGAAAAGCTTGGAGGATCATCTTCATGAGGAATCTGAAGATTCATTTACGGCTCCATTACCATTCAATGAAATTCTCAAGAGAAAAAGAGTAGCGCATCTGGTGGGAATGGTGGTGGTGATGAGAAAGATGGCACAATCCAACAAACAAAACAGGAAGACCCAGATGCTACCATAGCCATGGAGGAAGTTGGAGGTCAAGATCAGGCCGAGGTCCCTCATGGGCAGTCCTCTGAAGCGAAACAAACTCACAAAGGCGGGACAGATGAAGGAAATGACAGTGGAAGAGGACCAAGCCTATGGAGGCAATGACCAGAATGGCGAGTATTATTACGAGGAAGGATAAGAAGAAGATGGAGAGTACACTTATGAAAACCCATAAGGCGTGGAAGAGGAGTATCCCGAGGATGGAGAAGAAGAAGAAGATACAAAGAAGATGGGTGTCATGTACTATCAAAGTTTTGGCCTTTTTCCAAAGAGATGAGATTTGGCAATGTTCTGTCCTAAAAAAAAATATTTTTTTTATTCAAAGGTTCTTTTTTTTTTAGTTCAAGTAATTAAATTTAAATCATATAGGATTAGATAATTAATACCCGCACTCCTTCCCTAACCACGAATGTTCAATTTACTTTGATTCAAAGAACCTTATTCGTTGGGGTTCACACCTCAAATGGGCTGGGCACCAATTATTCGTTCCATAAAACGGAGACACGTGGCGGAATCCCGTATCGGTACACTGCGTCACAGGGAATCCGTGACCAAGCACCCTTTCTATTCTTCAAACCTCAAAAATTGCGGGACCAATCATGAAACAGAGCCGCAGGCGAAGTTGAATCGGAAAAACCTCGTCTTCTCCTTTATTCCCATTTTCCCCAAAAAATCGACGGCTAGTCTCCTAAAAGCTCTTGGATTCTCAACGATTTCCCTCAATTTTTGCCGATCTCTTCTGCTTCTGATACTTGTTTTTATTCCTGTTTGAGGTTGGGTTTCTTTTGTTCCTCCGTCGTTATCTTCCCTTTGATTTTTTTTTTCGATTGGTATCAGGGTATACACTTTTTTCTGGAAGTGGGTTTACAAATTTTGCGTGTTTCGAGTTTGTTGCGTTCTGATTGATCTCAAAAGGGTATCGTGCTTTCGGTCGTGCGGATTTGTTCGTCGATTCGGATTCCGCGTGCTGGGTATCTGGTTTTAGAGACTTTTCTTTTGTCGGAATTCTTGATAAATCTTTCGAATTGAGAAAGCCGTAGAATCCGAGATTTAGCTATGGGAACGTGTTGATCAACGGGTGGTCGGCTTTGTTTGTCGGAGTGCATCCCTGCGTCTGTGGATGAATATTGTCGTGGTAAAGGAGGAGAATTTGCTTCAGAACTTGCCGGACTCGTTTCTGGGCCTTCTCAGGTTGTCCGGTTTGTCTTTCAATAAAAGATCTTCCTTTGTCGTAATCCTTAGGTATAGACGGGATAAGGTGTTCTTTCAGCTTCAGAGTGGATAACTGAAAAAGAGAAAAAGAAGACAACAAAATCAAGAATTTGCAAAGTTTTTAGGGTATTCGAAACTGGGTTGAGATGGGTTCATCGCAAGGCTCGACATTGTCGGCTGATGTGACGAGCCTTGTGGATACATTGCCTGTTTTCGCCAAAACACTTATCGCCGGAGGAGCTGCCGGAGCTTTGGCCAAGACTGTCGTTGCACCCTTAGAAAGGATCAAGATCCTATTGCAGGTGACTGGAAGTTGTCCTGTTTGAATGGTTGTCTTAGTGTTTTAATGGGTCTGAACCTCTTTCTGAATGGCTTCATGACATTTATAGGGACTTCCTTTGAACAACCAGATTTCCTCTGAGTTGCCTATAACACATCTGAGTTTCCTATACCCTTGATATGCTTGAGTGGTGGTGAATATATTTCTTTGCACCTATGGGCAATTTCAGATTTAAGAGGCAAACACTTTGTCCGAATAATGTTTTTTTATATGGTCTGGGATCTAGGTTTATTTGTCTGAAGATATTCATTTCCGATGAACCTCGTACTTATGGCATATCCCATGATAATGTTGCCCATATATTGCTGTCTGGCTGGTGTGTTTTTTTTAATATTCTGAACCAGCTAATGTTTCGTATATTCGTGTTGTCAATGTCAGACTAGAACTGAAGACTTTCGAACCTTGGGGGTTTATCGATCTTTAAACAAGGTGTTAAAATGTGAAGGACCTCTCGGATTCTATAAGTGAGTATCTACATAGACACTTGACTGTTTATCTGTTTTTGCAGCCGCAATAGATTTTCTGAATCCTTTTTACATATTGTTCTTGCAGAGGAAATGGGGCAAGTGTAATTCGGATTATTCCATATGCTGCCCTTCATTACATGACCTATGAACAGTATCGTGACTGGATTTTGGAGAAAAACCTTCCCTTGGGTTCTGGTCCCGTTGTTGATCTCGTGGCTGGTTCAGCCGCAGGCGGGACAGCAGTGTTATCCACATATCCCCTGGATTTAGCCCGTACTAAACTAGCTTACCAGGTATGTCAATGTGGTTCCATGCTAAATTTGCGATGCCTCTTTTGAGTAAACATATATGGATTTTTCTCCTGGCCTTGAGAGGTGGCAGGTATTGTTTCTTGTTTGACTGAAAACTACCGTTCTTGTTGTTTCTCTTCTCATGCATTTATTAAATTGCTTCGCTTGTTTAGGTTTCTGATACAAGACGAGCTCTCAGGCATGGCGTGGAGAGCATTTATCGTCAACCTGCCTATTCAGGAATAAAGGAGGTGCTTGCAGTTGCATATAGAGAAGGAGGGTTACGGGGACTGTATCGAGGCATAGGTAAGTGAACTCATAGCCTCATAAGCTTTGCACGCATGCCGTCGTTTTCTTGGAGTTGTGATCCAAAAAAGTGTCCGGGGAATCCGTTGTGTCGTAGAGATGAACCAACCACGAGAGATATAATTGTGAAAATATGGAGTGCGGGGTTGATTGTTGTTTAAGCTAAGGTTCTCAGGTCTATCTTTATCGAAATTTCATGCGAAAGAGAGTAGGTTTCTTGCAATTTTCTCAAACGTTTTCTCTTCGTTCTCTTTACCACCCGCCTGCCCGGGATCTGTTAAAGCCTCATTTTTTTCTTTGACAGGGCCGACGCTGATAGGCATCCTTCCATATGCTGGTCTGAAGTTCTACATATACGAGGAGCTCAAGAGGCGTGTTCCGGAAGAGCATCAGAACTCTGTCCAGATGCATCTGTCTTGTGGAGCTATGGCTGGCTTGTTTGGTCAGACCTTCACTTACCCTTTGGATGTCGTCAGGAGACAGATGCAGGTAGCTCCCTCCCTTTTGTTTTTCCTGTAATGAATTAGAAAACTATTCAGCCTTTCTCAGCATGAAGATGCCATTTTTTTCTATATATAGAAATGGTAATTCAGCTTTTGAGAAAATAAACAAAGATAGGGTTCATGAAGTTGGTCTGAATCAAATGGGTTTTTTCATCCACATTTTCATAAACCTTGCAACCTGCAGGTAGAGAATCTGCAGCCGATGGCAGGAGGAGGAGGCAATAAGAGGTACAAAAACACATTCGATGGCCTCAGCACGATTGTGCGGACTCAGGGCTGGCGGCAACTGTTTGCCGGTTTAAGCATCAACTACATCAAGGTTAGTAGTAATACTGATCTCCATCAAATCTTCGTGTGGGAATTCCTCTGATTGTTCCCTAAACTGTTGCGTGGATGTTATATAGATCGTGCCGTCGGTGGCGATAGGTTTCACGGTGTACGAGTCAATGAAGTCGTGGCTGAGGATCCCTCCCCGCGACAGACCGAAGCCGGCTTCTCAAGTGTCTTGAAATTCCAAAGACTGCTGTTTCACATTCTCCACCAATGGTTTTTCTTTTAAAACTTGAAACCTTTATACCCTTATTACCATTATTATTAATGTCATATAGAATTCATAAATTCGTATTTGGGCTAAAGAGAAAGATTCGTCGTTTTATACATACGTTCTTCGTTCACATATTTATACCGACGCCAGTCCGTACGTGTTTCTCCCTTTTTTTCTATATTCGATAAAATCGAATGCATGTACACTTAATATTAATACGTGATCACTGATTTTCCCATTTTTTATAAAGTGATTAGCAAAAGACTAATGAGAGATTATAATCTTAATAATAACGTCGCAGAATTAAAAAAGAAAAACATAAAAACATTTGTTAAGTTCATATCATTAGTCAAGACACAACACAACAGAAGAAAAGGGTACTCTGTGAAATCGAAGGCAGAGACCACAGATCGATCTCATTGTCCATACAAGAGTTTATTCCCAACACGAAACACGTACGCACGCACGCACACCAAACATGAAACCACAGAACCACAGCGTTAATTAAAACGTGATTAATTAAGCGATGCAATCAGCAGTGTTTGGTGCAGAAGCAGCGGCGGCGTAGACCACGACAGTTGCCGCCGATGAAGCCCTCGTTGTGGCAAACGTTGGCGCAGTTGGTTTCGCTCAGGCACGCACCCTTGAACCTATGGCTCGGCGACTCGCATGTTCTTCCTTCCACGGCCACTGGCCCCATCTCTGTTTTCATACATCACTTCTTCTTACCATCAACATGGTGATGCATATATATATATATACATGTAGATGACCGTGTATACATTGCCTTTTGGTATGTACATATTTCGGAATACATAATGCGAAGTGGGTTTATATATAATCTCAGTCCAAGATCCAGATAGCTAAAAAGATTTGTGTATTTTCTTCTCAATCTGTAATTCTCCCAAGAAACTTGTTAGTTTATTGCAAAACTAACAAACAAGATCCTCGGATTAAGGGTTAGTTCCAGCTTCAGATCCCATACATACATACAATGTGGCATTTTACGTACACTAACATGCCACAGTACACACATACACGTCTAGCATGCGCGTGTGTATATATATATATATATAAAGAATATGAACCTGTGGCAACGAGGAGCATGAACACGAGGAGAACAGCTGAAACCAAACGCAAGGAGAGCTTCATGTTATTTAATATTTTACTTAAACTTTTTTGCACAATATTTAGTTAGATGGGAGAGAGAGAGAGAGAGATTTGGATGAGAGTGAAGTAGTGAGCTGAGGGAGTGGGCATTATATAAAGGCCTAAAGGACTGAAAGAACTTGAACGAAGTTAATTACAAAATGTGTTTTTGTATTATTTGCATCAATATTAGAAAATAAATTAATCCTTTTTTGATAATCCGGAACAAGTAAAGTCCGTGTGAATATTATACACATGGGCTAAAAAATATCGATTTCCTTATAAATCTTTCGAGATTATAAATAAAATTATCAAATGACTCCATAAAAATAAATTTTACCCCTGAAATTATATATCTAATTAAATATTATATACCTTCCAAAAGAGATGACCATGTGATTGAGGGGATATTCGAATTTAAATTGGAAAAGAGTTTTGTCCCGCACGAAAAAACAAATGAATTATTGAGTACAATTATCTTCCTTTTTTTATTTTTTTATGTTCGAATTTATTTTCTTGTTTTTGGTTTCATACTAGTTTTCTTCCGGTTCGCCTAAACGACGCCATAAATTTAAGGGAACATCGTATTGATTTCACAGAAATTTTTTGAAAAAGATTATTTTTGTTAAAAAAAAATGATTATTTATCTATTTATTTATATGGGAGAAAATGATATTTTGTGAATTGACAAGACGTGAACCACTTGGATAAGTCTTTTCCAAAAGCACACAAAAGCCACTTGCTTTAATTAAATATTACTTTTGACCAATTTCTATATTTATCATTTAAAAGATTAAAAAATAAAAATAAAAGGAAGAAAGTAAATAATAGAGGTCGTCAGTGTACGGTACCGTCCACGTGAAAAACATGGGGACCACGGATACACTTATACCTGTCCAAATATTGAAATTTTGAAGTTTTGATTTATCCGACAAGGACAAATGAAAATTTTAAAAAAATTAAAAGTTTTGGTATAAAATTATATATACAGAGATGATCATGGAAATGTAATTTAATGTTGGAAAAAGAAAAATATAATGTATAACTTACAAAATGCTACATATATTACAAGAGTAGTTACAAACTGTTTGTTAGACGCTCCACTATGAGTCTAATTAATAAAATTATACCGTTTGTAATAAGCAAAGGTAACCTATGGTATGATACTAATAATATTTACTATATGTATATATATATATATATATATATATATATTGTTAGTTAGTTCACATTCAACTATCAAAATTGTCCACATAAAGTAAAAGAAAAAAAAAACAAGGGACCAAATTTGAAAATGAATATTTGGCAAGGGTAAGTGGCAGACAAAAGCTGCTTTAATCCGATCTTCTTCACTTTATTTCGTTTTCATTTCGCAACATTACACAATTATACTAGTAATCAATTTTCTCGATTTATTAAATATATCTATAAAATTTGATTTAACAGATAAATGATCATATATATAAGAAACGACAAAAGGGCAATTTTGGTAAGACCGTAGAATTCCCATATGCCGTACGCGCTGCGAGAGCGCGTGTGGTTGCGTTCGGAAAGATCAATGGTGGTAATTTATATGTTAGTTTGGGCTTTATGTTGGTTTGTAGGCCTTTTATGGGCTTTTTATCTATTCGATAACGTTAAGATATTTTATTAAAAAAATCCACATTTATGGGCTTTACCATTAATTTGGGGCTCAGTCTCAAAATTATTTTTCGCCCCATGAAATCTTTCGGACAGGTAACCGTGGAACTCCTCTCCTCGTAAGTTCCTTTTTTTAATTCATTTTTTCGATTATTTAAAAAAAAAACTGACGCTAATCAGTGTTTTGTGTTGAAGGAAACTCAAGCACAGACACTTGACGGCACACAAACACAAGGTTAGAATGATTACTTGCTGAACAAGTAAACACATGAAGACCACAATTGCTAGGGATATATATATATATATCATTACGTAATCTTGGACTTTATTTGAGTGGAGAAAACTTTTCTTCTGCTTAAATCTTGCTCCAAAGAATATACTGATATATATATATTCCATATCATGCAACCTTCCATTTTTTTTCACATGTTTCCATTCCTAATTGTACATAATTTCGTAGTTTCCATTCTTGTTATTCTTCTTGCTCCCTATTTATTTGTATAGTTTCTTATTGAATAAAACACAGAGAATTCTTTTATGCAAATCTTCTTCTTTCTCTCGGCAACATACTAGCCGAGATCTCTTGCCAAAACTTCATTATTGCACATGGTATCAGAACAGTGATCTGAGTGACCATCTTTATCACCTTTTTTTTTTCCTGTCTTTCGACCACTTTTTCGTCAACCACTATGGATTTCTCTGTGCTCCGAATCATCCCGGTTATCCTCGATGGCGACAACTACCTGAGTTGGTCCCGATCGACGAAGATGTTCTTGAAGAGCAAAGGTTGGTGGACTCATGTCACCACCGAACGTCAGATCGACGAATCTGGCGATGAACCCCTCAATGAAGACAACTCCAAATGGTTACAAGAAGACCATATCGTTGTCATCGTGCTTCAACGTTCGTTTGATAGCACTATCATGGCTTCTTTCAATCATATTGAATCCGCCAAGCTCTTATGGGATACACTCCAAGATGTCTTTGGGAATACTTCCAACATAAGTCGGATCTACGAAGTGAAACGACGGATTTACTCTCTACGCCAAGAAGAAAGACCGTTTTCGGTGTTACTCGGTGAATTCACGACGCTATGGTGCGAGTATCGTGAACCCTGACAACCATCGTCCGATGCCAAAGTTTGGAGAACCATGAGCAAGACAAAGTTTTTGCTCTCCTCTTTGCTCTCAATGGCTCTTACAAAGAGCTTATCCAAACAATTCTCCGTGATACAACACTTCCGTCATTCAATGAGGTGTGTGCTCGGATCGAAAAGGAGGAAAGGGGGGGGGGAGAACTTATTTTCTGGACCAAGTGAACTTGCTCACAAGGCCAAGAGCTTGACCATTGGATATAACGAAGCAACAAACAAGGCTATGCCATACAAATCTGTAGGAGATCGACGCAACCTCATTTGCGAACACTGTCATCGGAAAGGACACACCAAGAACAAGTGTTGGGTGCTCCATCCGCATCTTAAACCCCAAAGGTTTGCCTCTTCTCAATCTTTTTCGGATAAGGCTCGACTTGCAGGTGAAAGCCATATTGAGATCTTGGACGTGGGAGGGATTGCGATACATGACAATGCATTAACGGCATCAACGGCAGAATATGTCACCAAAACGGACATGGCAGCCATGATGCAAAGTCTCACCTCCAACATCTCAAAGATGATTGCATCTAAGGATTTCGGTAATGTTTTTTTCACCCCATTCACTAGCAATGATTTGATTATTGACTCAGGAGCCACTAGTCACATGATCTATAATCCAAAATTGCTGTCAAATATTAAACATACTCATGGATCTATTTCGGTTGCCAATGGACAGAATGTTTCTATTAAAGGAACCGGAAAATTAAAGCTTTGTGAAAAGGAGACTGATGCACTCCGAATTTACTAATAATCTCTTGTCCATTTACAAAGCAGCAAAAGACCTAGATTGCAGAGCTATTTTCAGTCCTAACGGGATACAATTTCAGGATATTAAGACGGGGCGAATCATTACCAAGGGACGAGAAACAAACGACCTTTATCTTTTAGATACGCATTCGGAAGTTGAAGAAACAACCTTAAGTCTCTTTGGCATGCTAGATTAGGTCACCCGCATTTTCAAGCTTTAAAACTTCTATTATCGAATGTTGCATTTGATCATACGAGTTGTGAGGCATGCATTTTAGGCAAACATTGTCGGAATGTATTTCCACATTCGAACTCTATCTATAATAAATGTTTTGAATTAGTTCATTCGGACGTGTGGACGGCTCCATGTACATCATGAGAAAATTACAAATATTTCGTGACTTTTATCGACGAAAAATCTTAAGTATACTTGGCTAACCCTTTTGTCTTCAAAAGGAGAGGTGTTTGATGCTTTTATCAGGTTTCATGCTTATATTGGAACGCAATATAATGCAAAGCTCAAGTGTTTTCGGTCGGACAACGGAGGAGAGTATCTTAATTCTCGGTTCAAGGATTACTTTGCCAAGCATGGCATTGAACACCAATCTTCATGTGCCTACACGCCGCAACAAAACGGAGTGGCGGAGAAAAAGAACTGTCATCTTATGGAGGTGGCAAGAACCTTGATGTTTCATCATCAAGTTCCTAAGAGATTTTGGTGTGATGCAGTCATGACATCATGCTATTTGATCAATCGATTACCTACAAAGATTCTTGATGATAAATCTCCATTCGAGGTACTCAATGAAACTCGTCCATCTCTTGAATTTTTGAGAGTCTTCGGTTGTTTGTGTTATGTGTTTGTACCAGAAAATAACAGGAACAAGTTGGATCCGAAGAGCATTAAGTGTGTATTCCTTGGATACTCAACAAGACAGAAAGGGTACAAATGCTATCAACCCGAAACGCGACGATTGTTCGTGTCAAGGGATGTCAAATTCTTAGAAGACGTTGGATACTTTGACAAGAAGAATTGGGGAGAGCTTGAAACTTTAGCAAGACCCAATACCCAACTATTCCTATACGTTGAAGAATTTGCTTGACTATCAAGCTACTCCAACAGAAACATGCCTACATCAACCAACCGAGACATCCGACCAAACTCGGATCGACACCGTAAGAACACAAACAGGTAACTCTAATGAACTCCTGGAACTAACAGATTTTAACGGATCTGAGAATGACGAAGCTAACGAGGAACGCCGACTCGAAACCACCGAATCGCTGAGAGAAGTAACAACGGAGCATGAGGGGGAAGAAATTCAGAACACGATACCTTCTTCAAATCCAATGATGACAAATCTGCGTAGGAGCTCGAGGACAAGGAAACCAACTTACAAGCTAAGACAAAACGATAATGGTTATGCGGTAACTCATCCTATACATAACTTTTGTTCCATACTTCATTTACCTATTAACCACGTGTATTTCTTAGTAAATTAGACCAGAAATTTGAGCCACAAACGTTCGAAGAAGCCAACCAAAAGGAAGAATGGCGAACTGCTATGGCAGAAGAAATCTTTGCATTACAACAAAATGGAACGTGGGAAATAGTCTCTCTACCAAAGGACAAACGACCGGTGGGATGTCGATGGATATTCAACATTAAATATCATAGCAATGGAGATATAGAGAGATACAAAGCCCGGCTAGTAGCTAAGGGATTCACTCAAACATATGGAGAGGACTACACGGATACCTTTGCTCCGGTTGCAAAGCTTCCTACGGTAAGAGTAATACTTTCCATTGCTGTTAATCTTAATTGGGAACTTTGGCAGATGGATGTCAAGAATGCATTCCTCCAAGGTGATTTAGAGGAAGAAATATATATGGACCTACCCCCAGGATTTCAAAACTCACTTGGACACAACAAGGTTTGTAAGCTCAAGAAGGCGTTATATGGTCTCAAACAATCACCACGACAATGGTATGCTAAACTCCACGACGCATTGACATCATATGGCTTTCATCGAAGTGAAAGTGATCACTCGTTGTTCACATCTCAAAGCAAGGAAGGTATAATTGTTCTACTTGTATACGCCGATGACATAATTATAACGGGTAATGATACTCAAGGAATTGTAAAAACAAAACATCTACTTCATAGTACTTTTGACATTAAAGACTTGGGTGAGCTAAAGTACTTTCTTGGTATAGAAGTATCTCGATCACTCGATGGATTATTTCTATCCCAACGAAAGTACACACTTGATCTTTTGAGTAGTGCAGGAAAACTTGGAGTAAAACCGGCGAAGACTCCCATTGAGGTCGGCTACAAGTATCAACAAGAGGGGGAACCACTTGAAGATTCTGAGCGTTATCGGAGAATCGTAGGTAAGCTCATTTATCTTACAATCGCTAGACCTGACTTATCATTTGCTGTTGGTCAGGTGAGTCAATTCATGCATGCTCCTACTTCACGACATTTGGGAATGGTAGAGAGAATACTCAAGTATCTCAAAGGATCTCCAGGAAAGGGAATTTGGATGAACCAGAACAACCAAACCGACATTGTCGGATACTGCGATGCGGATTGGGTTGGTGATCAGCATGATAGGAAGTCAACCTCGGGATATTGCATGTTCGTCGGAGGAAACTTAACAACTTGGAAGAGTAAAAAGCAAAATGTGGTGGCTAGATCGAGTGCTGAAGCAGAGTATCGGGCAATGGCTACCGCGACTAGTGAGCTTATATGGCTTAAGGCGTTGCTTAGTGAACTTTGCATTACATCGGACAAACCCATTCCATTACATTGCGACAACCAAGCGGCTATTCACATTGCGGCGAATCCGGTATTCCACGAGTGGACAAAGCACATCGAGGTTGTGACAGCCCAGAATACCGTAGGAGGGCGGGGAGTGATCGCCGGTGCGAGAGGCATGGAAAATGGGCGGCTCCTGACGAGCTTCTGGGTAGGGGGTACAGGGATGAAGCGGACGCACCGGAATGAGAGAGATCCGAGGGTTGTGTAGGTATGGGACTACACAGTCTAAGATAACTTAAAGGAATTAATTGAGCTACTCATATCAACAAGATGCATCTACCTTTTCGGTTGCTCATCTCGAGAGAACTCCAAAGTTAAGCGTGCTGGCTCTGGAGTAGTCTTAGGATGGGTGACCTCTTGGGAAGTACTTTCCGGGATGTGTGCGAGTGAGGACAAAACACGCTAAAAGGTCTCGTGTTGGTGTGTGGGGACAACTCTATCATTCCGTAGTGACCTCGGGTCGTTACAAATGGTATCAGAGCCGGTTCTCTCCCAGTACGGTGTGGTTCGTGGACGAACCAGACGGAAGCTGGTGGGCCTGTGACAGCCCTAAATATCGTAGGAGGGCGGGGAGTGATCGCCGGTGCGAGAGGCATGGACAATGGGCGGCTCCTGACGAGCTTCTGGGTAGGGGGTACAGGGATGAAGCGGACGCATCGGAATGAGAGGGATCCGAGGGCTGTGTAGGTATGGGACTACACAGTCTAAGATAACTTAAAGGAATTAATTGAGCTACTCATATCAACAAGATGCATCTACCTTTTCGGTTGTTCATCTCGAGAGAACTCCAAAGTTAAGCGTGCTAGCTCTGGAGTAGTCTTAGGATGGGTGACCTCTTGGGAAGTACTTTCCGGGATGTGTGCGAGTGAGGACAAAACACGCTAAAAGGTCTCGTGTTGGTGTGTGGGGACAACTCTATCATTCCGTAGTGACCTCGGGTCGTTACAAATGGTATCAGAGCCGGTTCTCTCCCAGTACGGTGTGGTTCGTGGACGAACCAGGCGGAAGCTGGTGGGCCTGTGACAGCCCAGAATACCGTAGGAGGGCGGGGAGTGATCGCCGGTGCGAGAGGCATGGACAATGGGCGGCTCCTGACGAGCTTCTGGATAGGGGGTACAGGGATGAAGCGGACGCACCGGAATGAGAGGGATCCGAGGGCTGTGTAGGTATGGGACTACACAGTCTAAGATAACTTAAAGGAATTAATTGAGCTACTCATATCAACAAGATGCATCTACCTTTTCGGTTGCCCATCTCGAGAGAACTCCAAAGTTAAGCGTGCTGGCTCTGGAGTAGTCTTAGGATGAGTGACCTCCTGGGAAGTACTTTCCGAGATGTGTGCGAGTGAGGACAAAACACGCTAAAAGGTCTCGTGTTGGTGTGTGGGGACAGCTCTATCATTCCATAGTGACCTCGGGTCGTTACAGAGATCGATTGTCACTTTGTGCGAGAAAATATCACTCACGGAATCATCACGACGCCATACGTTAGAAGTGAAGACCAATTGGCCGACATGTTTACCAAGGCACCCAATGTTAGAAGCTACGAAATCACTCTCTCCAAGGTTGGTGTTCTGGATATTCACAAACCAACCTTGAGGGGGAATGTTGAAGGAAACTCAAGCACAAACACTTGACGACACACAAACACAAGGTTGGAATGATTACTTGCTGAACAAGTACACACGAGAAGACCACAATTGCTAGGGATATATATATCATTACGTAATCTTGGACTTTATTTGAGTGGAGAAAACTTTTCTTCTGCTTAAATCTTGCTCCAAAGAATATGCTGATATATATATTCCATATCATGCAACCTTCCATCTTTTTTCCCATGTTTTCGTTCCTAATGGTACATAATTTCGTAATTTCCATTTTTTTTTTTTGATTAAAGTGATGTATATTACTTTAGCAAAAATGTACAACCAGTCCATGACTGTATACATAAGGAACCCATAAATAAATGGTCAAAATATAGCCGAGACAATCAAACAGTCTAACCGTCTAACAACAGAGGTGTAATGTCTAGGGTGGTCTCGAGTAGAGAGTAAGGTAGTACCAATCAGCTAGGAGGGATGAACTAGCAGATGAGGGAGTGCACTTACAAGATAGGAGGACAGTACGCATAACGCGGTCTTGATCTTTTGGTAAAACACAAAGAATTCTTTTATGCAAATCTTCTTCTTTCTCTCGGCAACATTCTAGCCGAGATCTCTTGCCAAAACTTTATTATTGCACATTTTGAACATGAGCGACCAACTAATCTGGCTTCCAAATTTTCATGGTAATAAACCTTTAATATAAATCATGAATAATTATTAGTCTAACTCTTGATGATATGAAAATAGTTCATTAGTACTAATTAATTTGATGCGTCGTTACACAAAATCTGTCCAACATTTGTCTCTTTTTTTTTTCTTCGTATGTATTTTGTTTTGATTCTATTGATAATCATCATCAACTTGGTTTGAACAACGTGTCTAATTGTGGGAGTCTCTCGTCCTAGTGGTTAGTGACAACTCCCCTCTGGCAAGAGGCTGTGGATTCGAAACCTAGGTATGGAAACTCCCCTTGAGCCGGTCAGCTTTATGAGACTGGTTTATCTGCTCTACGTAGTTTGTCGACTACTGCGCAGGGCGGTGGGTTTTCTTAGGTCTGCGATATTGTCCTGATGTTGTTCTCGTTCGGTCCATGGACTGAGAGGCGTTGCGGTGTCCAGTGTCCGACCCAAAGAGTTGTAGGATAGGGTTTCCCATCGTAACAAAAAAAAAACATGTCTAATTTTTTTAATCATCAAAATATAAAGCCAAAAAAAGAATATGACACGCGTATCTACAGTACGCATGGAGCGCACGTGTGTGTTGTGCGAGAGTGTGCGTGACGAGCATAGACGTTAGTACCATTATTCCACGTAAAAAAGATGAAGTTTTACCAAAAGATCAAGGCTCGGTTAAATGAAGAGAAAGCGAGGGTTTTGTCTTCAAGCCACCAAAAAGATACGAATCGAGAGAGAGAGATGTGGCCCCCGGCCACCGCCGCATGTTGACACATTTCACCGCTTTAACAGCGACATTCAAACCGTCTAAGTCTTGTGGTAATTACAAATACCTCCCTCATTTTTTAAAATTAAAGAATGTGTGTGTATATATATAGATATATATATATATATATAGAGAGAGAGAGACCTTGCCTGCATATTTTAAGGTCACATATGATTCAATCAAAGATAAAATAAGAAGAAGAAAACAAGAGGGAGATAGAGAGAGAGAGGTAGGGCTTCAAGGTATGTGTGTCTTGTATATATACAGACACATGTATATACATATATATATATATATATGGATATATATTTGGCAAAAATCCTGTTATTGCTCAGATAATACCATGATGAAGTGGGCAAAAAGCCAAACTAAATGGCCAAGAGAATCAGTCTACGTGTTGTTGTTGCTCAGATAATACCAATGAGCAAGAAGTTGATTTGCATCGCATTCCTTCGTCGGATCTTTGACGGAGAGTAGAATATCCCGTATTGTGCGGTCGATCTTCATTATGTTCACCTCAGCACTCTTGTTTTTGTGTCGGAAAATCCTGTTATTACGTTCCCTCCAGATAGCGTGCACCACCACCTGTAAAGTAAACTTCACAATGGTCCTTCTCCCTCTCGAGCTGTCGGTGTTCTGGGCTTCAATCCAGCTTTGGCAGATCTTGATGTCTAGCGGTGGTTGCGGCCAGCAATAGATAGCCAAATGGTTCTAGATCTGTCTGCTGAAAGTGCACTCAAAGAAGAGATGTTTATGAGACTCATCCTCTGCGTTACAGAGCACACACAACCGATCCAAATTGATTCCCCAGTTTGCAAGTCGGTCCCAAGTTGGTAATCTTTCCTGCATTACCTGCCACAAGTGAAACGACATACGTGGTATAGCTCCTCGAAACCAAACCAGTTTATGCCACTCCTTCTCCGGAAGATGTTCCCTGATCTGTTCTCTTGTCTTAGCAGAAGAGAAGTAGGGCATGAACACGTCGTGTTTGTGCCGCCACAATGCCCTATCGGGGCCTTTCGCGTCTGATGGAACCGGAGTTTGTAGAAGTGCAATATGCAGTTGCAGAAGTATGTCTGATCTCGCCCCTGAAAGCGCTTAACACAATATCTGGAAATGCGAGAATGATCATGGGCTCAGGAAATGCCGAGAAGGGAGATGTCCTTTCTCCCGACCACATCAATTAGGACCCCCATAGACATCCAATTATCCTGCCAGAATAATGCTTTGCTTCCATCACCAAGCTCCATCTGCAAAAAAGGCTTCGCCATTGGTCTGAGCTTCAGGAGTTTCCGCATGTTCCAGGATAGCGAAGTTGTGAGTTTAGTTTCCCAAAATCCTTTCTTCTGCAGCAGATTTTGTCTTGCCCATGCCACCCATAAAGAACCTGATTTCGCATATAATAGCCACAACAACTTCAGTCTGAATGTGGTATTAACATCCACAACAACTTCAATCGATGCGACTGCGGCACCATCTTCTCTAGGTAAGTATTTTTTTCAGTATTTGATTCAATATATACATATACATATATATATATATATATATATATATATATATATTCTTCGTGTTAATCTTGTAAAGAGCATCAAACGAAGATTCAATATCTAGAAGATCTCAATCAAAAAGGAAACATGTCAATGTGAAGAAATGGAAGGAACAACCAATAAGGGAATGACTTGTAAGAGAAAAGGAAACATGCCATTGAAGAAAAATGGAAAGATCAAGCAAAAGGAATAAACTTCAAGAAAAAGGAAAAGAAGATATTGAGCAAATTATTGGAAACAAGAAGAGGAGTTACGAATAAATACAAGACGTGGGAGCTACAAAAAGACATCCCAGCAGAACAGAAAAAGAGAAAACAAGCTGAAGAATCATAGGTGTGAGAAACATGGGTGAGTGATACTTGAGAGAGAGTGAAGTGCATCTGAGGGGGAGCCTTCAAATAACAGGTGAACCGCTCAAAGGGTCTAGACGAGTCTAGGGTTATATGGGGTGTGCGAGACACACAGTTTATGAGCTGATAGAATTCAAACAAACTCAGGGGGAGTTGTGTTCTTGGGATGGATTAGGCTCGAACAAAAAAGAGTTGTAATTCATTTTCTTTACAAATGAATAGAATCAGTTGGGAAGTTTTTGAAAGCAATATCGTGTGAGTTTTACTTTTTCAATTGGTATCAGAGCAGGTCACTGATCGTAGGAAATTTTTCATCTCATATTGGTGTACGATCCAGTCTCACATGATGGATGGATACAAGGAGATGCAAGCACCAAGGAAGCATGCAATATTTGACTCAACTAATTATGGGCATACCGAGATGGAGTACAAAAAATCACTTGTCACCCATGAACAGAAGGAAACCGAGTTGGACAACGACGATGAAGAAGTTTCTAACTCTGTTGCATTCTTTGGAATCATTGAAGAAGGAGAAGAAACACTGGAAGATGATTCAAGTGATGATGAAGAAATAACTGAGGACGATTTATACAAAGAAATGACGAAACTAGTTCGAATGAACATATATTTGTTGGATGAGAAGAAGCGGTTGGAGAAGGAACTTAGAAATACTCAGATCCAACTGACATCTACTCGGCATCAACTGTCCCAAAAAGAAGAAGAAGCGTCGCTCATGAGATGTTAGATTGAAGAGACCAAGAAAAATCTTCATCTTCTTGGAAGTGGAACTGGTAAGTTAGATCATCTACTTGGACAGGGAAGGAGTGCACGAGATCAATCGGGGCTTGGATATGCGGGAAAGGAGCAATATCACCCAACATTTGTGTCTGGAGGAAATCTTGAATGAGAAGTACCTGACTTGGTACGAAGTACTTTTGGCACCATCAGAAATACCCCAAGAGTTAAAAGTGGATCTACGAACCTCTCGAGAGCAAAAAAAAAGTGTAGAAGCTGCTATTATTGTGGGAAGAGATGACATATTCGAAGGAATTGCTATTATCTACGACAGAAAAGGAACTCTAATTGGTACGTTCATTCGAACTTGAATCACTCTTATCTGTCTCATCCTTCGAAGAAACTTAGGTGGATTCGTAAATCCGATGTGTCATGCAATGTTGTCCGTACGTCTGAACAAACGAGTGGAGATGGTGTCTGGTATTTGGATAACGGGTGTTCAAGACACATGACAGGACGTCAGAAGCTGTTGACGGATTTTGAAGTAGGTTTGACAAGTGACAATGTCACATTCGGAGATGGAAAACAAGGGAAGATCATTGGTAAATGAACTCTGGAATGTGGTGGAGTATCCAAGCTGACGGATGTCAAGGTCGTACAGGGCTTAAAGGCTAATTTGATCAGCATAAGTCAACTATGTGATAATGACAATTCCTTCAAATATGTCCTCTTTTCTCACAATAATAGCATCTTCTGCACTCTTTTTGCTCTTGAGAAGTTCGTAGATCCACTTTGACTTTTGGAGTATTTCTGACAGTGCCAAAAGTACTTCGTACCAAGTCAGATACTTCACGTTCAAGATTTCCTCCGGATACGAATGTTGGGTGATATTCCTCCTTTCCCACATATCCAAGCCCTGAATGATCTCGTGCACTCCTTCCTTGTGCAAGTAGATGATCCAGCTTACCAGTTCCATTTCCAAGAAGATGAAGATTTTTCTTGGTCTCTTCAATCTGACATCTCATGAGCGATGCTTCTTTTTATTTTTGGGACAGTTGATGCTGAGCAGATGTCAGTTGGATCTGAGTATTTCTGAGTTCTTTCTCCAGCCGCTGCTTCTCATCCAATATATTTTTGTTCATTTGAACAAGTTTGGTCATCTCGTTGAAAAGTTCATCCTCGGTGATTTCTTCATCATCACTTTCTTCCTCGTTCAAGGACTCTTCTTCTTCTTCTTCAATGAGTCCAAAAAATGCAATGAGATTAGACAATTCTTCATCATCACTGTCCGATTCAGTTTCATCCTCCTCACGAATGATACGTGATTTTCCATTCTTCTTGATACATTCCATCTTGGTATGTCCAAACCCCTTGCATTCAAAGCATTGGGTTTCCTTCAGATTCTTCAACACATTGACTCTTTTGGCAATACTTGGGCATTCGGCCTTCCAATGTCCTATGCCTTTGCACTCCAAACACTTCCCAGCATCTATGTCACCCGATGGACCAAAATTCTTCTTCCCTTTGAAGAATTTGTTGAATTTCTTGACGATAAGTGACATTTCATCCATCAGATCTTCTTCAGATGACTTCTTATTTTTTATGGTCTTTTCGACTTCAGATTTAGACGCCATTACCTCCGGTACGTGCAAAGCAATCCCTTTCTGTGTTGACGTAGATGAACCTTCATGCATGAGTTGTAATCTTAACTCATGTGCAGCAAACGTACCTACAGTTTCTTTAAAAGTAACTGTATCCAGATTGTTTACTCCTTCAAATACAAAGATCTGAGAGTGATACTTGGTTGGTAAGCTGTTGAGAAGCTTTTTCACAAGTTTGTCGTCATTAAACTTTTTCCCAAGTACACTTGCCTCATTTGACAATGCACTCAATTTTCCGCATAACTCCTTAATGCTCTCGTTTTCTCCCATCTTCAGTCGTTCGAATTGAACATCTATCATATCAAGTCTGTTTCTCTTCACCTTGGATGTGCCTTCATGTATGAGTTCCAGAGTATCCCATGCTTCTTTGGCAGTTTCACATCCTTGAATTTGTGTAAACTCCTCATGACAAACTGTGCTGAAGATGATAGATAGAGTCTTTTGATTCAAAGCGGAATCCTTCTTTTCTTTTGTTGTCCATCGATTCTTTGGTTTTAGCTTTTGAATTCCATCGACTGGTTCCATAGGTCGAGTCCATCCATCAGTGACTGAATTCCAAGCGTCTTCATCAACACCTCGAATATAGGCACTGATCTTCACCTTCCAATATCCATAATTGGTTGAATCAAGCATAACATGTTTTCCGAGCGATTGCATCTCCTTGAAACCCTCCATCGTGTGAATCTGAATCGTACACCGATATGAGAGGAGAAACTCCTACGATCAGTGACCCGCTCTGATACCAAATGAAAAAGTATGCTCACACGATGATATACAAGACACCCAACTGATTCTATTTCCTTGGTAAAAGTCAAGTACAACTCGTTTTTGTTGAAGTAGCACTCACCACTCGTTTTACTCCCCCTAAGCAAAACCTCGTACCACAGGAAATTCTATCAGCCCATACACTATGTGTACCACGTACACCCCGTGTAATCCTAGACTCGTCTAGGCCTTTGAGCGGTTCGTCTGTTATTTGAAGGCTCCCCCTCAGATACACCTCGCACTCTCTCAAGTATCGCTCACCAGTGTTTCCCCATACAAATAAAACTCACACATTTTTCACTCTGAACACTCTCTTTCTCTATGCTCTTTCTGTTGCATTGGTCTTCGACCCCTGGTGTGTTTGTGCAGCTCCCCTTTTATGCTTTTCTTCTCTTGATATATTTCCACGTTTTATGCCATCATGTTGTCTCTTATCCTTTAATAATGGTTGACTTTTTTACTTTTTCCATGTGCTCCATACTTCTCTGTCTTCTCTCCATAGTGCTTCTTCCCATATTGCCCCGTAATATTCTCTTTTTCCTCCGTGTTTTCATGCTGTCTCTTTATCCTTTTTTATTGAATTATTATGCTTTTTGACTTTATACTTATACACGTTAGTTACTCCAATTAAATCCTAACAAGTTTTTGAATTATGAGATAACTTCACCTTGAGATTGAGTGTTCGATTCTTGTCTGGTGGAGAGGGAGATAATTTCTGGATTTATATGATTCATATACAAAGTCTGCTCCCGGGCCGGAGATTTATCTAGTCAACGCGCCCGAAGGGTAGTAGCTAGGGGTCCTCCGTTATCAAAAAAAAATTCTGAATTACACATCTTGAACATTTTAATATGAATAAAATTCTTTTTAATATTGGTATTTCTGAGCGTTACATTTTTTTTAAAAAAAATAATATATAATCTGGAGAGAACAATTTGTACAAATTGGATCTAAAAATGTTCAGAATTTTAATTTTGCCCCTTCAAACTCAAACCTAGAAACAGTATAAAAAAATACATGTAGATGATAATATATATATATATATATATAGTGATCGACCGAGTTCAGATATTTGTAATCTAACCATTCGCTTTGAATTAGGTGATCTGATTCCGTGGGTCCCACCCCAAGTATTTTCACGTGTTTAGTAGGGCTGGGCAAACGGATCGGGTTAATCGAGTTCGGGTAAAACCGATCCGATTAATCGGTTTTCGGATCGGTTCGAATGTTGCAGAAATAACCGATCGGTTACCATTATTCCAAAACCGATCGGATCGGTTCGGTTCGGGTAAATAACCGATCGGTTTCGGTTATCCGAAATAACCGATTTTAATTAAAAATTAGTTTAATTATTTAGGTTTAGGTTTAGGTTTAATTACCCCTTTTGATTCGATTGCTGCCCAGTGCCTTCATCTTCTCCTTCTTTGCGGTTGCAGCTTCGTGACTTCGTCTTCTCCATCGCCGAGCCAAGTTGTGCTTCGCCTGAATCCTCTCCTCCGTCTCAGAGTTATCTCGTCCATCGACAGACATCGTCTCGGCGTCGTCTCCTCCGTCTCGGTGTCGTCTCTTCCGTCTCGGCGTCGTCTCCTCTGTTGCAATCTCGACGTCGTCTCTGTTGAAGACCATGAGAGCATAGGAAATGAAGACTTGGGCCGAGATTTGAAAGTGGAGGCCCAATCTTCTGAGTTAGGAGATCAAGACTTGGGCCAAGACTTAGAGAAGAAGGCCCATAATATTTGTTCAGATCATGAAGAGAATATTCTAAGATGCAAGCCCATAATCTGACACATTATTCTCCTGCAAAGCTGCTGACACATTTCTCTTTTCTAACAGCTATATTCTCTGCAAATCTTATGCAAATGTCCTATTTATATTCCTTGTATCATGTTCAGAATAATAAGGGAATTAAGTGAATGTTTCAGAAGAACTCACCCCCTTTCTTCTCCATTTTCGTCCTCCTCTCTCCTGCAACAAGTTCTTGTGCACTTTACTTGTTATTTCACTCTCAAACACATCAGAATCAAGAGCAAACCTTATTCTGATCAACTACAAACTCTCATAAACTCTGAAAATCTTCAGTCTCCTCGGCAAAGTTTTTCTAAGAAGAAACAGAGGAAATCTGGAAAAAATGGGTTGAAGAACACGAAGAACAGTAAGAAGAAAGAGAGAGTTTTTCAGGAATTTTCTTCTTGTATTTCTTCTCACACTTTAACATGTACAACTCTATCTCTATTTATACAAAACAACCGTAGGGCAACATAACGAATAAAATCAATGAAAAACAACCTCAGAAAAACAAATAATAATGATGATCCCGTAACAATCCTACTATCTATCTGACACTTTGCAGGTTCATGTGCGTTTCTACACTTGTCTCCCAGTTGTACACAAACCGTTGCAATATGTGTCAGTTTATGTCGCTTAATACTCCCCCTCAAGATGGAGAATACAAGTTTCGTATTCCCATCTTGAGAAGTAGGCGATGAAACTGATCGACACAGATAGGCTTAGTGAGTAGGTCAGCAATTTGATCACCGGATGAAACATGAGACAGGCTGAGAAAACCAGATTTGACTTGCTCACGGACAAAATGGCAATCTAATTCAATGTGTTTCGTTCTCTCATGATATACGGGATTTGTCGCAATATGCAAAGCAGATTTACTGTCACAATGAAGCTCCACTGATGAAGAAACAGGGATCTGAAGTTCACGAAGCAGAGTAGAAACCCAGAGAAGTTCGCAAGTCGTTAGCGCCATTGCTCGGTATTCCGACTCGGTACTACTTCGAGAAATTGTAGGCTGCTTTTTAGATTTCCATGAGATTAGAGAGCTGCCGAGAAACACGCAATAACCTGTAACCGAACGTCGTGTGTCTGGACAGGAGGCCCAATCCGCATCCGAGAAACCAACCAATTTCATTTCAACAGAAGAATGATAAGAAATGCCCTGACCTGGAGCATTCTTTAAGTATCTGAGGACACGAAGAGCAGCTTGATAATGTGTGGTTCTCGGAGATGACATGTACTGGCTAAGCTTGGTAACAGAAAAACTGATATCTGGTCTGGTCACCGAGAGATAGATCAGTTTTCCGATGAGCTTACGATACAGAGTCGGGTCAGGCAATAAGTCCCCAGTATTCTGAGTAATCTTCAGTTTCATCTCCATTGGAGAAGCAACCGGTTTGCATCCCAACATTCCAAATTCTTCCAAGAGCTCCAGGGTATACTTTCTTTGACAGATATGGATTCCATCCCTCGATCGTGCTACCTCAATGCCAAGAAAATATCGCATATCACCAAGGTCCTTGATCTGAAAGTTCTGTTGCAGAACATGTTTCAGCTCCTGTATTTTTAAAGCATCATTCCCTGTTATTAACAAATCATCAACATAAACTAGAATTACTGTAAGTGATGATCCTTGTCTGTGATAGAACATAGACGTATCAGATTTGGATTGCTGGAACTGAGCAGCCAATAGAACAGTTGTGAGTTTCTTATTCCATTGACGAGAAGCTTGCTTAAGGCCGTAGATAGATTTGCGCAGTCGACAAACAGAGTTCGATGGCAAATTCTCCCCCTGAAGATGAGCATATCCTGGTGGAAGGACCATATAAATTTCCTCGGATAAATCACCATTGAGGAAAGCATTAGAGACATCATAATGATGCAACAACCAGTTGTGAGAAGCAGCAAGAGCTAGCAAAAGTCGAACTGATGTCAGTTTAGCCACAGGGCTAAATGTTTCTGAATAATCCAGACCTTCAAGCTGTGTGTAGCCTTTCGCTACTAAACGGGCCTTATACCTTTCAATGGAACCATCAGGATTATACTTCACTTTGAAAACCCATTTACAACCAATAGGGTTCTTAGCAGGAGGTAAAGAGCATATGGTCCAAGTCTGCGTCCGGGTTAACGCATCAAGTTCCAATTTCATCGCATCTCTCCAATGACTGAACTTGACAGCCTGTGTATATGATGTGGGTTCGGTTTCAAGGGTGATGGATAAGGCAAAATTTCTGTAAGGAGGGTTAAGTTGAGAATAAGAAAGATAAGTGTTTAGGGGATGAGAAGTAACAGATGTTTGTGGAGGTGGTGTGTGATGAGTGAGATGGTAGCAGTGATAGTCAGATAAATAACTTGGTGGTCTAGTAATGCATTGTGGTCGAGCATTGTTATCTGTCATATCCGAATAAGTGGGTAAAACAGGGGGAAGAGAAGGCTGAACTGGGGAAGGGGAAATAGGTAAAGGTGAGGAAGTTGTGGGTTTTAAAGTGCTGGACTGAGGATACGTAGGAGGATCAGTGTCATATAAGATGTATGGAGAAGGTTGATAAGGGAAAAAATCAATGGTGGTTTTAGAAAGATTCTGGGATTTGAATGGAAAAATAGTTTCATTGAAAGAGACATTTCTGGAAACTGAAATAGTGTGTGTTTCCAGATCAAGTACTCTGTAACCTTTAGTGCCAACAGGATAACCTATGAATACACAAGGTCTAGAGCGTGGGGTGAATTTGTGACGGTCTTTGAGTAATGTAGAAGTGTAACAAAGGCAGCCAAAGGTTCGAAGATTGGAGTAGTCTGGCTTGGTCTGTAGAAGCTTTTCAAAAGGTGATATGAGATCAAGAACAACAGTGGGAGTTCGGTTAATCAGGAATACAGCAGTGGTTACACACTCTCCCCAATAACATAAAGGTAAGTTGGATTGGAAAAGCAAAGAACGAGCAACATTTAGGATGTGTTGGTGCTTACGCTCCACAACCGAGTTTTGTTGAGGAGTGTAAGGACAAGAGAACTGATGAGTGATGCCGAGTTGAACAAGGAGGTCTGAGAATAAAAGCTCGGGAGCATTGTCTGTTCTAATGGTCTTAACTGTTTTGTTAAATTGAGTTTTCACCATTGACAGAAATGCTGGGAAAAGAAAAGAAACATCACTCTTTAATTTCATTAAGTATATCCATGTTGCTCGTGTACAATCATCAACGAGAGAGAAAAAGTACTTGTGACCAGCAATGGTCGGGGTTTGGAAAGGTCCCCACACATCCAAGTGTAACAAGTCAAAAGGAGCACTACTTAAACTAGAAGTAGAAGCAAAAGGAAGCTGTCGTTGCTTAGCCAGTGGACAAATCGAGCAAAGAGAGTTGTCATTCCTGGCTTTGGAAAAGGAAAGTAAAGATGAAGAGCCAACAGACTTGATCTTGAGTGAAGACGGGTGACCAAGTCGTTGGTGCCAAAGGTCATGGCTAGATAGTGTATGAGCTGTGCAAAGGGAAAG